AATGGCTGCCGGCCATTGAAAAACTTCGCTGAACAGTGAGTAAATCAGCCGATTGGAACGCATTAAACTAAGTTTAATGCATTCCAATGGCTTTTTTCTTACCGCTCAGCGATGTTTCACACAGCGAGGCACCACTGTATTGCAGTAGGAAACAATTGTGAAGCTAAAGAGTGCGGTTATAAGAAAGTGGATCTGTGCAAGGCAATCTCATCTGAAACTTGAGATGGAATAACCAATCTAGCAGAATTGCTATTGATCATTTAAATCAAACAAATCAATTATTTATCATAGTCCAAATTATGTGGCTTCAGAATAATAATTTCTGAAAAGTAGTCATTGAACTGAAAAGGCTGTTGACTGATACGGAAACACTAAACTCTTCAGAAAGATGACATTTTTACAAAAAAATTATCCCAACATTACAAATATTGTAGAACCTAGAGTCCTGCTAGTCACATGCTAATTGATCTTCAATAGAAAGGAAAACCTTGAATTCCAGATAGGCTTCAGGTCCTAATCTGACACATTTGAGAAAACAGTTTTTTCCCCACAGCAAATGGAACTGAGATATGCTTTCGCAGAGTAAGCTGGAGATGCATGCAGTCCTTTCTGCTACTAATTATAAGGCTGTTGTTCATTATTCATTGCACAATGACTTGGCACACTGTACACAGAGAAGAGCTGTATCTTTATGGCAGAACACAGGATGTGCAGGTATAAAACCTCAGATCAAAATAGATCTAGTGAAACAGATTTCTGAGGGTGTGGCTGGGAAGAGCATTGAGCAGAATCCTTTTTGACTGCTGCAAGTCAGAATAAACAATCCTAGCTAAGTGGGCCAACAAACTTGGTACAAGTCAGCTTCATAGGTTCAGAGGATCTCAAACTTCCCTAGGTATTGAAATGATGGTATTTTTCAAACTGAAAGTATTTTGGTTTCATAAGGCAGTTGAATTTTGGATAATTGGTAGTATCTGCTCAAGCAGGGTTTGTTTGTTTTTTAAGTGCAGGTTGTTTGTTTCTAGGGATTCTCTTCTATTTAAGATCGTAATTGGCATTATCTGTGAAGATGCACAAGCTCTGCTGCCAACAAAATGCTTCCCATGCCAATTTTTGTATGTCCTCAGCGGATGCCTCCAACAAACCTTCACTATGCCTGCAAGAGAACATCAGGGGTGTGATGGGTGGCTGGCAAAGTGGATGTGATGCTTTGGAGAAGCTCTTATGGCAGGGCACATCTTTTCCTATGTGGAGGGTCTGATTAAGGACACTGGAGATTTTCAAAAAATAATATAGCAAAGATCCTCTTTCACAGTGCTGCTGTACCTTTATGCAAGGCAAGATGATCTGGTCTTGAAGCCAGTTCAGTAATAACAGGAAATATAGTATATGTGACCTCCTTTGAAATGAAGCTGATAAATATATTTCATTCTTTCTTTTTTCAGTTTTAGCTTTTGGAATATTACCATAGGTTTCCATTGTCTCTGTTGTACACACATGGGTACTCAAACACCTATTTTCAAAACATATTAGCTGTCCAAATATTCCTTTGCTCAAATAGAATTAGTATAACACAGAATCTAGTCCTGTTTTACAATCTAAAAAGGTTTCCATATTTGGGTCACTTCTTTAAGGCTTGCATATTAGGAATGTCCTTTATTTCTGTACTCTTTGTTGAAATCAATCCTGATCTCTTACCAAAGAGGTAAACCTTCCTAGATGCAATTCAGAGCTTTGCATCTAAAAAGTCCCTATTTTCGTCTGTGAAGGAAAACACTCAGGATGTAAATTAATCCCCTCTGTGCACATGTAGCATTTCCTTGAAAAGCATCTCTGCAGACTGAGCTCAGTATCTACTTCATGCTTTCTAAACTGGAGCAGTGACAGTGGTGATACTTGTTTGACAACTGACATGGGTTTAAGGCTAACTTTGATTGATTGATTGATTGATTTTATTTACTGATTTAGGGTATAGCTACACTGCAACAGTTTGTGCTGAAGTTGACACAGTTAAAATCTATTCAGTTTTCAGCAACTGCACAACATGAAGCTAATCATGTAGAAGCCCGTACTCTATTCAGTAGTATTCATGGTTAATGTTCAGCCATCAGGGGGTTGCTTATTCTGAACTGATTTCTTTGATATTGCTTTTTTTCTGTTGTGTTTGATGTCTGTCTTGGTCCAGACATGGGTATGTCTTAGGGCAGTAGTTCCCAACCTTGGTTCCCCAGATGTTTTTGGACTGCAGCTCCCAGAAATCTAGGCCAACACAGCTAGTGGTGAAGGTTTCTAGGAGCTTTCGTCTAAGAACTTCTGTGGACCCAGTGTAGGGAACCATTGTCTTAGGTGTGGTTCGGAACCACAGTGATATCTACATTGGAGTGCTGTATGCCATTACAGTGGAGAATCTACCTCGAGCATCCGTTATTCTCTCCTTTTACATTTTTTTCTATTTTGTTTAATATGTATGTCAGGTTTGACATTGTATCGCTTAAGTACTGTAGTGCCAATACTATTTTCTTTTCCTGGTTTGCTTTCTTCTCTTTGGTCTGGCCTGGTGTGGGAAAAATGACTCTAATGGCAATATTTGGGGGTAGGTGGCAAGAAGTACCTGCTTTAGTATTGGTAGGTACTCTATTAGAACAGAAATGAAGAGGACATTGAAGTCCTCATCTTCAATTATTCTCTTATTTTAGAGATGCAAAACTAAATATATATCAATTAATTAGAGTAATTTAAGCTACCTTTAGTCACCAGTTTAACGAATTTATCTCTTTAAAAATACAATCTGATTTTTCTGCAGGCTACAGAGACTAACATAACGAACACAGATTTTGTTACACTGTAATATAAGATAACAATTCAGAATCTGCTGTGTAGCAATCTGTAAGACTCTGATGTGTTAAATTTCTTGTTTCAGCCACTTGGAGCCAGTGATTATTTAGAAATAGCCAAGAACTTTGATCTTGTCTTTGTTCATAACATACCTTTGCTTACCATGGCAAAGAGGACCCAGACTCGACGCTTCATTACTCTCATTGATACTTTCTATGATAAGAAGGTAAGCATTCCTTTTGTAAGTTCTTATAAAGTACTTAAAGTAGTAAGTTCTTATAAAAGTGCATTTTGAATTGTTCTGAAAATTGCTGAGATGAGATTAACGTCTTTTACAACTGATATAACATAATTCTTATGTTTATCAACTGCTCTGGAAACTGCCTACCTAATGAACAAATTATAGAAGAATTGTTCTAATACAATCTAGTTGAAAGCACTAAATCAGCAACATGTGAAAATGACTACTGAAGCTTCCTGTTAATAGTTTAATTACACATTGGCTATCATTGGGCAACACAATAAGCCAGAGAACTGCAAGAATTCTGACTTGTCTGTCAGAAAGACTATACTAGGTTCCAGTAGGAGTGGCTAAGCAGTCCCCCTATACTCCTGCTGCAAATGTTTACTCTGTCATCTGGATGTTGGCTAAACTCCTTCTGGATCTCCTACTTTTCTTCTACATATCACATCTTATGGCTGGTCACCTCCAGCTCATTACTGTTTCAGAGCCGAGGAAATTTTGAATCGTGGGAGGTATTTACAGGTCAGAATTACAGGAGAAAAGTACTTATCCAGTTCATCCATTTAAATGGCCACTAGCATCAACATTAGCATTGCAAAGAAAAAGCTGAGTTGGGGCTACCATGCTTCTTCATAACGTCTAGCTTCTCTACTGTTTTATACAAAAAACCAATAGACGTACAATTTGTCAGCTTTTTACCATGTACAGGGCCCCATTCTACATGCCTGCCATTTCTTGGGCCATTTGTAGAAAGGGTTGACAGGACAATGATTTTCTGCTACATTGTTCTTGCCTATTAGAGACATACAAAAGCTCAAAGCAATCCAACTTGCCTAGTAGTGGTAAGCTCTTGATTGAGTTGGGAAGGAATAGTTTCTCTGACCCTAGTCTTTCTTTGGTCCTCTTTGCACATGATGCTTTTACAAGTATGCCATAGAAATGTCTGAATGTGATAAACCAGAAGTGAGACCCCATCTATTATAAAAGTACAGAGAGCTGGGATTGCAACAGTTCTCCATTCACTCATTCTCTCCTGGGTATTCTTCCTCCAGCAGGTTCTCCTTATTTGGTGGCAATGGGAGGTGGGAGGGATGCAATATGTCAAATGATCTTATAAGGAATAAGGTAACATCTTCAATTCTAAAAAAGGTTATTAAGACAATCAGTGAATGTGTAGGCATCAGTCAATTTTAGCCTTCATGTGATTCTCTGTAGTGCAGGCAAGGATGCCAGCTGTAGTGGAGATACCCTGCCTTCTCAGTATGAGTGCAGGCTCCAGAATTCTTTGCCTGGAAGAGGCAGGGCCTCCTCCAATCTCATCAATCTGCTTTCTGCATCAGGGAAAAAACACAGAAAAGTGGAGAAAGAATGAAGAAGTGGGAGCCAAACGGTAATTCATCAATCTTGCAAGCAGTGGTGCGCTATTCCAGCATGCCTGAACTCCACCCACCAATTAGGCTGATGCTCCATTCTGCCCTTAGGCAGAATTGAGACCTCAGATAGACCGGCCTAGCCTAGTAGTTCTCACTGATGACTTCAGTGAGAGCTCTCCCATCTGCAAGGACAGGCCCTGTGTACCCCCTAGTCTGTTTTTCTACCCACCTCATGTTCCTAAGGGTGAGGTTCTCCTCACAGTTGGAGAAGCAGACACATCCACCTCAACAAGAGCCCACTTAGCCTCCAGTAGATGGGTGAGAGAATATTCTTGAAGGAAGGAGTCAATTCATTGGTAAGTTCCTTTTGAGACTATAGCAAGGCCATTTTATCTTCTCCCAATGGAGGAAAAGGTGATGCCACCACTCAACCCTCCTGGAAAGGGGCAGGGAGAGCCACATAAACTTAACAGCCTTTCCTTGTGGTCATAAGAGAAAACAGGGGCCCCTAGTAAACAATGTTTTGCCAAGGTCTCTTTCTTCTCCAGGCCACCTTTTTCCTCCTTAGCATCCAGCAGAGAAGAAGAGAAGTTTGTCGATAAGATTAAGAAAAGCCACCCCAAAATAGACTTTTTGTGTTTACTGAAATTGTGCTACACCTTCTGGAAACACACATCCTAGAGGCAAGCATAGAACCTCAACCACTCAGAAGAGTGGAGGAGGGTTAGGCTTGCCAAATCCTAGCAGCACACTGATGTGGTAAAACTGCCATTCCCCAAGAGGAGATCATGTACAAGGAGTGGGCTAAACCAATCATTGGCCAACTGCCAGTGTCAAAAATGTTGTAAGCTTCAGCTTGACACCATGCAGGCCTTCACAGTTGCCAGAATCAGTGACCCAATAGCAGGTTTCACTTCTAGGGCACCACTCACATCTGAGTCCATTTGGTTTCCTGCAGAGATGGCACTAATAGCATTGGCTGAGGAATCTGCTATAACGGCCTTGAGAGCTGACAACTCTTAAGATGATGGCCAAAATCCTTTTGTGTAGCTATGCAAATGGCTTATGTTTTGGAGGAATTTATTTCAAGCTAAGAAATCACTGTAGCCGTTATCAACTGGAATTGCATCCTGAGTTGTATGGCTCAGCACACAACTGATAATGTCTATGGTGATTTCAGAAATTAGGGCAACAATTTTGTCTTCCCAAACATTACATTGTTGATGCTACACCACTGTAACTAGGTAAGAGGATTTAGGCCAAAGTCAGCTATCTGCTTGTCAACCTGTTTCTTGTGCTCAATGAGGCCCACGTAGTAAAGGCTGCTAGACAGCTGACAATGGAATCATACTAAATAGTTGCTACTGACTCAAATGTGCTTTTGACAAGATGAAATATCTGACTATGAAAGTGGAATGTGAACATAAAGGTGAAATCCAGTCTGGCTAGTGTTCCATTTATTGGTGAGCAATTATTTGATGATTTACTTTGAAAAAGCGGTTATGAAGACCTGAGACGAGAGGCTTTCCCTACCTGATAGGGGGGGAGAAGGAGATCAAGGAACTGAAGAAATGGTGCATATATTCCTTGAATCACTGTCCTAGACAACCAGAAGGAGTGGACTTTTTGTCAGCTTTGAGAGCTAACTGACAAAGCTAGTACTAAGCCTCCAACACAAATAATGCTGCTTGCCACCTTCACTGGACAAACTACAGAAAACATCAATTCGTGTTTCAGGATTCAGTTCAGGGGGCACATTTCTACTTAAGGATCCTTCAGATCTGATTCCATGTTTTCAAGCTAGAGATCTCACAGAACTACAGTCAGCAGAAAAACTGCATTGCCAGTCAAGGTGCAGAGGTTTCTGAGATGATGGACTAACCTCTGCACATTGAGCTTGAGCACAGCTCCTTTCAGGATCCCTAACATATCACCCTGACAACAGCCACCTGACTCAGGATGGGTGGTGTCTATGAAAATCTGCACATGCAACAACTGTGGTCTAAGAAGAAGCACCAGTCCAGTGTGATCACACTCAAATTCAGAGTGATCGGCTTTTCCATGTGTTAGTTTGCTCCAGTGCTGAAGGGGAAGCATTCATCTTCCAGGAGCTGGAACCTGAGCTTATGGACTTTATATTAGCTTGGTAGTCCAGGGAGCTTTTGTATGCCTTCCTTACCATTTATTCCTAAGCATGTCAGAGATAAAGAGGTGGATTGCATCAAGATGGCTCAGAAGGCCTGACTTATCAGTCTGGTGCCTCTGCCAATCAACAAAACCCTCACACTACCTACAAGATTCTACTTGCTCAGCCCAATCTGGCATAAGAACCCTGAGTTCTCATGTTGAACACCAGAAGGTTCAATAGGAAGTGCTGACCAAACATGTCTACTCATCTTGAGTATTGCATACTCTCCTTGTTTGTAAACAAAACCTATGGCCAGACCAGAAAAACCTTCCTAGAGTCATACCACATGAAAAGGAAGAAACCCCTTAGGTGTCAGGGGTGTGTCAGAAATGTTTCAAGAATATCATTTGTTCTCAAGAGACAAGTATCAGCCTTAGCTTGTATACTAAGGTACATTAATAGAGTCTCCCTGGCCTTACATGTGCATTTGAGGTGATTTTTAATGATAGCTGTTTTAATCAGTCCCTTTCTAGTACTCAGGCACTATATCTAAACCTGAACACAGTACTGAAGATCCTAAACAAGTATCCCTTTGAGCCACTAAGGGTGCCTTCCCATAGAATACTTTAAAAAACCAGCTTCATTCTCATACCATCCACAAGAAGGGTTTCAGAATTAGATGCTTTATCTAACGAACAGGGTTAGAGATAGGGGTATTCATATACAAATGCAGTGGTGCCTTGCTTAACGATGTTAATTGGTTCCCAAAAAAACATCGCTATGGTAAAACATCGCTAAGCGAAACACCATTTCCCATAGGAATGCATTGAAAACCGGTTAATCCGTTCCAATGGGAATGGATTACCGTCCTTAAGCGAAAATCCCCATAGGAAACATTGCTAAGCAATACAATGTTTCCCCCATTGGAATGCATTGAAGCCTATTCAGTGCATTCCAATGGTTTTGTGATGTCTGTTTTTGCAATTTTAAGTGTGTCTTAAAAGGTTCAAAAACAGTTTTAAATGCTTGGAATCGTTAGTGCACCTTGTAAAACCTTTGCAAACTTAATTTGGCTTTGTTCTGAGTCTTTGTTAATTTTTGGTGAATCCCCCCCCCATGGGAAAGCATTGAACTGCAGGTTTGACAGCTGTCAAACCGACAGTTCAGTGCTTTCCAATGGGGGGGAAAAGACTCAGAACAAATCCAAATTAAGTTTGCAAAGGTTTTAGAAGGTGCACTAACGATACCAAGCATTTAAAACCGTTTTTGAACATTTTAAGACACTTTAAAAATAGCGAAAACGGACCATCGCTAAGTGAAACAGGGGACCTAAAACTGTCATCGCTAAGTGAGGCAAGGTCCCGAACATCACTGTGCAAAATTTCCCCATAGGAAACATCGCTAAACGGAGCGCAAAATCGCTCCAAAAACCTCATCGCTAAGCGAATACATCGTTAAACGAGGCAATCGCTAAGCGAGGC